CTTTATCACATAAATTAGAAAAACGAACAAAAGCGAGCGTCAGATCAAATCCGACACCACTTTCCTGGATACGTTCTGAAAATTATGGTACCGTTAGAATCAGGCGTGTCCAAAACTTAACTCACAAGCTAAATGCTTCCTTCTTCATCATCGTCGAGCAAGATGAAGAAAATAAAAAGAATAGACGCTAGTACTCTGCCCAGTGACTAGCTGTTCCAGCATTTATCCTTTTTCGTTTTCTCTCTATCTCTCTATCACTCAACGGGATGATGGAGAGGTAAGTTTAATGGGTTTAACTGAGAGCTAAGTTTTGGACACGCCTGCGAGAGATTTAACGATCGGACTATTCTGGACATCAACGCAATATCATTAAAAAATTTTAATTTTACAACCAGAGGGATGGATTTGTCGATACAAGTCAGCCTGTCAATTCAACTCATCAATTTCCTAATAAGATTTATGCTATTTTGCGCTCCTGCGATTTAACTTTCATTGCTTGTCATGCTAGTCTTTCATTTTACCTGACGTCGAGAAAGTTGGAATTACAAGACGTGACAGATAGCAGATCCAAAAGGTCGTAACGCACACACACGTCTCGGTTGTCCCGGAAGTCGAAACGATACGTGTCGCGGTTATGATTTGCGACCGCCGCGCCGCATTTTAAACGCGCACGCGACGCGAAATCTTAGCTTGGTATAATGCATTATGTAAATACGCCGATGTGACCGACGCATTTTACTTCTATCCGATATCAGCGGTGTCCACCACGAATATTTGATTCCAATACGAGGAGATGTTAAACCATTCATCGTAAAATCCTTTATCGAACCTTCGCAAACGGAGCTCTATCGAGTATCGCTTTATCTGTGCCGAAGGCCATAAAGGGACTCCTGTTTCGCATTAGCCGGCCGTGCGACCTCGATAGTTCCGAGTTGGTGTAAAAGCTCATAAAGAATCTCACTTCCGACACAGGGAGGTGCATAATATCGGTGCGCGCCGTATATCAGTAGATATATTCCCGCAACCCCCGCTGTGCCGAGGAAACGACGGAGGCGTATCTACTTCTCTCCGTGTTTACCGTGGACCTATATACCCCCGACCTGGAAGACCTATGGAGAAGAGCAGGACCACATGGGTTCGCCGTGCACTCTGACATGTATACCGGTGCAAACCGAGGCTGCTGTAGGTGTGTCGAGGCGAGAACGCTACAACGCCAAGCCTATCGACATCGCGCGGAATATTTTAACGCGATCGCCTACTTTCGCGAGGGCACGTTTTTATCTTGCATTACACGCGAGATTTATCGTTTCGGTTTATGGTTCTGGTGCCGACGAGTTGATTTATTCCGCATTTCCCGATTTCGTGAATTTGAGAAATTTAAGAAATAAACCGAATCATTATGATTTAATCATTCGAGATGAACTAAATGATTTAACGCGCAAAATATTTTTTTCACTAAAGCTGATTTTTTTTCGCGAAAATATATTAGATATTAAATATTTTAAATCGGTTATTAAATATATTATGTTTCTAATTCGGATATAAATATTTTTACATTTCGAAGCGTCTAATCTTTATAATATATTATTTCTAATAACGTGTATTTCTAATAACGGCGTTGGTTCACATTTATTTTCTTTTGATTTATTCTTGCTAGAGTCATAATTCTTGTTTCTTGTAATTTTTAAATTTATTATTCTTTTTTAAATAAATATAGCAACTAGTTTTTCTAATCCGCGTTTAAGCAAATTTGACAATTTAAATTTTTTGCGTGAAATTACTCTGCAAAAAGCGTGCTAGGAATAATTATGGTTAATTTTTAATGCGGAAGTACGTTTAATCGCGAATCTCCGTCACGAAGCACTACCGAGCGTTCTTCTTTTTAGGGTAGTAACGATCGTGCGAGATTATTCGGTAAGGATGCTTGACGTTCCTGATGTGAGAGTGCTTCCTGCTGTGTTTGAAGAACCGCTACAATCTTAAGATCAATCCGTGAAGGAAAGGGATCTACCCGTTTCAACGTATTTTTTTTCTGCTCATCAATCGGCTTAAAGATGACAGATAGAAATCTGAGCTGACGGTAATTGCAAGTTGCTTGATCGCAATTGAACAGATAGTTAATCCTACATTATTTTCCACTTAACTCGTAAACGTCAAAATCACTCAATATTTCTATTTCAGTAGAATTTTTTTGTAGATACGTATGTAGATATTTGAAATTTTTGAATTGTAATTGAATTTTTATCAATATTTTACTTCTAAAGAGAGCGATAAGTAGACAGTGATCCAATATTCTGTCTAATATTTTTAATGACATAACCGCTAAGTTCTTTTATTTTTTATTTACTCTAAGGATACATTTCCACCTTTGTTCAGTTTCTCTCGATCTTTGTGGGCGAAAAGCAATTTTACGACTATAGCTGTCCAGATCTGTTTCTCCAGATCTGGCGATAATACGTTCGTTCTCTGAGGACTTTGCCGAGCGAGGATCTGCTGGAAAGATGTCGACGATCTAGAATTCGACGATCTAGAATCTTATCGACAAGAAGAGACCTTTGTCTTCAGCAAACAGGATTTAAGTCGATAAAACATGTTTCTCTGGTGTAGCTCTCAGGTCTTCCTGTGCTCTGGCACAAGCGGCAGTTTAATTGCGCTTAATTGCAACTACGGCACAACAAATAATACTCTAATCGAGACAGATTCGTTCCCGATGCCGTCTTCGTCGCGACATCGCGATTACGCAACAAAACTTATTTCATGCTTGTATTACTTAAAGCTTCGATCAAAACTTGATTGGCGCGTTTGTACGAAAAATCGTGCGCGTGATTAAAATTGGACTAACGGTAACTGTCATTAAGTTATCACCAAGTAGCAGCGACGCAAAATGCACCATTAATACAATTATATATGTACTCTCACGTAACCTACAATTGGCTTTGGACGATTTAATATTTCCGATGACTTCGCGAGATTTTAACCATACTTGATGTAGCGTTAATTATGCGAAAATCTTCCATATCCCAATCCCACGTAGAGTCAAAATATATTTTTAATGAGGCTCGTTACAGTATGTATCTTCGTCACGCGGTTTACGGACCCGCTTCGAATTTTGTTTAGGCCACATCAAAGCCGACATCGCCGACTACATGCACGTCTCGTTTATGTAGCAAATTTGCGTTTAAGCTAGCGCGGTGAGTTCTGGAATGTATTATCCGATATTATAATTCTACCGCTACTCTCTCTATCTCTAGCTTTACTTGAAAGTTGATCGTTTATCAGGAGGTGCAGTTATAATTTTCCTTTGATAATAACAGTTTAATTTTTATAAAAGTAAGAGAAATCTGTGAAACATAAAATTGTCTTTGTAATAGAAACGGTTTGCTGGAACAGTGGACTAACTCTCTGCGTAAAAACGGAATTTTGTATAAATTTTGAATAAATTCTAAAATTAAAACGGTGGGAAAACATTACATTAACTCCACAACATAACCGAGTGTATATGATATTGGTACTTTTTCCATCACTTTAACTTTCGAGTTTATTTGCTCTGTTTTTACAAAATGTGAGTTAGCCCACTGTTGCGGGAAGCTCTTCAATTCTATTAAGCTTATGAACACGTAGCGTGGACGCAACTTATAAGCTTAAAACTTGTAATTTCATATGGGCCGAAAGTATACGAAGTGGGTCAAAGCACAACACATCTCACGTACTTCTATCTTTTAAAAACTCTACCAAAGCACGTAGCTTCTGCGCGATATTGCGGAAGCATCGAGCGCGTGTGTCTATCCTGAGCTTATTCGAGCACCTTTGCGAAACGAGCTGCTCTCACGAACTTGTCGATAACAGTTCGGTAACCCCCGGGCCTTTCCACGTTCGCGCCATGATCACCGACTACCACGAGAATTCAATTATCCCGCCGTTCAAACCACCGGCCGGGTGAAGATAATACGAGACGAACAAACCAGGGGAGATCGGCCATCTTGGGCAATGGTAGGTCCGGGCTCGGGAATTCTCTGACTCTCCGCATGTCTCGGATGAAAGGCTCAACACGCGACCCAATGGCGCACATACCCGCCGAGTACCCTTCACGTGCCAACGATTTCCGCAAAGCTCGGTCATTTACCGCCGAGTCGCGGATACAAGTCTTGATTGAGCTGTAAAACGCTGTACTGTCAACAACTGCAATGTGAACAATATCTCTTTTTATCAGATGTGTTCTAGAAAAACGTAGGATAATCCGCTACGGAGCAGTGCTAAGTCAGTTTTGTTGCTTGTTCAAAATAATAATTTATATTAATAATAATTATTATAATTTAAAGCCAATATTCTTTGAATAAAAAATTTCTTTAATTGATAAATAATCGTTAATTGTAATAATTTGACATTGAATTGTAATAATTGTCAGTTTTATTTACCTTCTCCCTTTATAGGTATATTCGCCAATTCTCTCATTCTTTTTTATCAAAATTGTCGAAAATATGTAATGGTATTTTTGTCTTAAGCAACACGTGCTTTCTATGGTCACATTTTATAGTGTGGCACTAACAATAAGCTTTTACCGAACTATCGATAGATGCGGGGTTATTTTACTACTACACCGAGAAAAAAAAGCTGTTAACTTGACTAAATGCGTTTAGTTCGTAACGATTATTTTCAAATATTTATATATTTATTTATACAAATATTTATATTTAGATTAACAAAATCTTGTAATTTAAAACATATTATATTTGTTTGAATTAACAAATATTTGCTTGAGACAGTCCGTAACCGCTACGTTTAGTTGATTAATCAATTAAATAATATTTTTTTTCAAACACAGCAACTTTTTTTTCTCAGTCTACTGTAATGTACTGCAATAGTATGGCCGCGCGTTTACTCAATGTTCGTAATTCTCTCATTCTCTTCTATCTCTTAGACTTCTATGAACTAATATAGATATATAATAACAATTTTTGCCAATATTGTCCATAGTGCATTTGATTTTTTTCTAATTGCAGCTCTGAAGACATTGAATCGTTTGAACAAGGAAGGCGAGGCGCTTGCCCTTCAAGATGATCTCACAACGCACCCTACCTTGGCCTTAATGCGGCGCATCCTTGCAGATGCACAGGTAACAAATTCTGCATTTAGCAAATTCTAAACGAGCGCTTTGCAATACTAATCTTTGCAAACGACACATTGAACAATATTTCATTTATTTAGACTTTCTATAACTGAAAATACAGTGTTACGTGTAATCTGATAATTCTATCTTCTTCATCTTTAATAGAAACATAGATCGCAGCATACTTAGTTAAAACACGCTATTAAATTCGTCTCACGCGAACTCCACGCCCGAGTCAAACATCCCCTACGCCAGAAGTTAATTATCGAACAGATATAGGGCTGCATATAAGCCCATTGATATCGAAATTCATTGTTTACGTATGAAATTGGATATTAGATATGTATTAATAAACGCCGCATCGCGGATTTTGATAAGGTGTATATTTTAAGTTTTTCATGAAAACTTGGAGTGGCACGAATGAAATTGCGGAATAGGATTAATGTTATTAACCTTCTAACGCGCGGTAAAGTAATTTTTAGAATGTGTTTTTAAGAAAGGGTGAGGTTGAATCCAATCTAACATTCTATCTTGTTTATTCGTCATGTATACAAAATAGATAAAAGAAGTAAATGATAACATGAACTTTTCCTTTGTCGATTTATAGATAAACAAATAAATAATTAAATATAATAATTCAACTGAAATCGATTGTTAATAAAAAGATAAATTTTTTTTAAACGTTCTTTCTTCTCAAGGATTAAATTTTTACGATTGAATTTTGACACGAGAAGAAAGCACATCGAGAGGCGAAGAAATAATTTCCGTAATCATAGAAAATTGATGTGCGTTTATTCAAACTGGAAACTCGTCAAAAATATTTCTTCATTGTGAGGGGGTGAGCAGCCCTCTCGAGAGACGAGAGGTGCGCATCGACTTTCAAGAAAGTGGGGAACCGAGAATTCAGTGGGGTTAATTGTTAGACGAACGGAGGGTTCGCTCCATTGATAGTGGATTCCTTTGTCCACCGTCAACCATTGTTACCTACGCACGCGCAACTCCCGGCTGCGATTTGCCGACATTTTCCTACGGCTGCTGCCTGATGTTTATTACGAAGAGAGATGTTGGATGAATCGTCGGGGAGAATTGTTCGCACCAGTTGGAAGTAAAAAAAGTGGTCGGTGGTAACGCTCGTGACGGATTTATCGATGCAAGTAAAGTAACAAAATAAGGGCTGGGGTGGAAAAAGTGTCCTTCGCGTGATTCGTTGTTAGGTGTTTCGTACGAACCCTTCTGTTAGATATATGACTGTTTCGTGTCACATGTTTCATATCTCGATCAATACAACTAGTACTCATGTAAAATTCTTATGAGATATTTTTCGTATCTAAAAATTTCATGTTTAAACGGAATAAGGACGGACCAACATTTCGCAACGATAAGATAATTAAATGGTTTCTCAACAATTTTTTTTTATTTTAATAATTTGATAATTTCAGCTAAATAATTATATTAATTTATGCTGGCAACAGGTCTCTATTTGCCTGCGTAACTAATTAAACGGAATCACTCCCGGCAATTTGTGCTTCTCAAAGTAGTCGAGGGAAGAGAATTAAGTAAAAATCGCGGGTATCTACTGTTCCCCATCTAAAATTGGAAAGTCAAAGTTACGCATCAGGAACATATAAATTAATCTATTCAAATCGAAATTGGCGTCTATGTATACTTGAGAAGGCTTTAAAGACGGATGCAAAGGACAAAATCCTTTTGTAATGATTCTGGCGATGCCGTGCCGATAGAATAAACATTAAAGAGATATTGTTTTGTTACTGATTTCTACCTTAGACGTCTCACGATAAAATGCAAAATTAAATATGTACATAAACTTGTATGTAAGAAAAGATTCAAGAGAATTGAAAACTTGAGAATAAATAAATGTCTGCAAGTAGCAATGTAGTCTCAAAGATTTGCACGGTAAGAGAACTGCTAACAGAAGTTTTGCCAAAGTACCTAAAGATGTAACTAGATACAGATTTAAAAATAATTTTGTTCGACTATCGAAATAATTATGACGTCTATGCTAGTTGTTGGAAAATTGTGAAAAATTGTTTGCAACATTGCTGATTATGCGCCCATAATTATTTTAATGGTCCGACAAAGTTATTTTCAGATCTAGCTAAATTTTTAGATAATTCAGCAAAATCCTTCTTTCCATGCAGTATTTTTATTTAAAAAAAAAAATGCAAATTTTATTTACAATCTACTATCAGTTAAAGTTAATATACAAATTGTAATGTACAAATTGTAATAGTTGATGTACATTCAATCAGCACAGTTGATTTGTATATCCAATCGAATTGATTCAGGAATTAATTAATGTAAAGCACACGTGCCAAAATTTCGTATCTTCCGTTAATTAAATTTGTGAATGCAATGCGTTTGTTTTGCCTACGTAAAACAAACGATATTACCATCGTTAATATCTCACTGTCTCACAATAATTGCAATATCGCTTTTAATACAAAAATCCGCGCGCTACGGAAACGTGTTATTCGATATTGATCACGCTGCACGCGCGAATAAAAGGCGAACAGGAATGCCCAAACTTCCATTTTAGCGTGTCATTCATTTGGAGCGTAACGCGCGTCGAAAGCACTCGCTGTTAAAAGAGCCGTCAGACTTGTTAATGTTTGATATCATGATTTTCACAGGGCGGATAGATTAATGTTGGCGCTTGGCTAATTTCGTGGCGTATTGCCGGCGATACGATGGTGAATTGCAGAACGTTTTATGCAGCATAATGCAAGAGATGCAATTACATCACAAATACAGAATCATGCGTATAAATACCCCATCGGGGCTTCAATTGTTATCGTATTATTATTGAATTTTTGTTATTTTGCGATACATATATGTGACGGCTTGTATATCAAATTGAATATTACAAGTCTTAAAGTGTATAAATATTTTATTAGAGTTCGCGTTGGAAGAATTTGCACATTTCAGAGTTGTTACGTAAGATTTTTTAAAGGTTTCAAGTATATTCATAAACAGACCCGATAATATATTTCGTGACAACTGATTATTAATTTAATATTATAAGTCTGAGTTTTATTCTCGAAAAATATGGAAATATTGTATATGTTACGTATATTATAGATATTATATATTTTATCATTTTATATTTTTTGAAAATAAGACCTCCGAAAATATAAATATTTTATTAGAGGATTGCATCAGAAAAAGAATTCGCGCGTTTCGGAGTTATGCTACGCAAGATTTTTGGAACGTTTCGAACCTTCATAATCAGATCCGGTAATGACATATTCTCGGTGGGAAGATCTCGGCGGGAGAGACGCAGATTCGGATTATTATAGTTAAATCACACGCGACACGTCGCGCATAAACACGTTATCCGACTTCAAATAGCATTCGAACGTGGCGGATGTGGCAATTTTGAGATTAATGCAATCAAACCGATGGCCCGCAGTTTGCTGACAATGGACACGTGCACGACGAAATTAAAGTTGAGCCGCGCTTGCGTTTCGCAATTATGACGTCATAAAAATCGCGGCAATAATTTGTATCCGGTGAGGTAACATAATGTGAGGCGAGAACATTATCATGTCATGGGATTAGTGGAGGAATTTCCTGTAACGTGACTGAATATCACGTGTCAATTATCTTACGTTAATTACGAATCATATAACGCTCGGATATCTAATCTAAATATATAATCATCATCAATTTAAATGTTATAATTATTCAAATATATAATTGGAAAATGACACGAAACGCGCGTAAGGTGGATGAAAATTGACATTGGAGAATCTGTCGTAGAATATATTTATCATCTACATATATTTGGTATACAATATCAATAATTTTTAATTTCACAATAATATTATTATTCAGAAAATTCAGATTTTACTCCCCAATTGTAATTGCCATTAAACGATAAAAATGTCGACAATCGATCGCGTCTACCTATTGTACATTGAGAAACTT